TCCACCGAATCGGATGAGAATTGGGGGAGGTATAGTCATCACTGTGGGCCCTATAGGGGAACACCCCATTTTCAAGGGATCACATCACGAAAAATGGACAAAAATCTAAAAATATTTGTCCAGGGTTTTGATGCAGAATGGTGGCGAATCGATTCAGAAATCGTTTAAGGTACTCCGCTTGAGAATCGGATGAGAATTGGGAAGATACAGCCATCACTGTGGGCCCTATGGAAACCCCATTTTCAAGGGATCACATCACGAAAAATGGACAAAAATCTAAAAATATTTTGTCTCAGGGTTTTGATGCAGAATGGTGGCGAATCGATTCAGAAATCGTTTAAGGTACTCCGCTTGAGAATCGGATGAGAATTGGGGAAGATACAGCCATCACTGTGGGCCCTATAGGGGAACACCCCATTTTCAAGGGATCACATCACGAAAAATGGACAAAAAATCTAAAAAATATTTTGTCTCAGGATTTTGATGCAGAATGGTGGCGAATCGATTCAGAAATCGTTTAAGGTACTCCGCTTGAGAATCGGATGAGAATTGGGGAAGATACAGCCATCACTGTGGGCCCTATAGGAGAACACCCCATTTTCAAGGGATCACATCACGAAAAATGGACAAAAAATATAAAACATATTTTGTCTCAGGGTTTTGATGCAGAATGGTGGCGAATCGATTCAGAAATCGTTTAAGGTACTCCGCTTGAGAATCGGATGAGAATTGGGGAAGATACAGCCATCACTGTGGGCCCTATAGGGGAACACCCCATTTTTAAGGGATCACCTCACGAAAAATAGACAAAAAATCTAAAAAATATTTTGTCTCAGGGTTTTGATGCAGAATGGTGGCGAATCGATTCAGAAATCGTTTAAGGTACTCCGCTTGAGAATCGGATGAGAATTGGGAAGATACAGGCATCACTGTGGGCACTATAGGGAACACCCCATTTTAAGGGATCACCTCACGAAAAATAGACAAAAATCTAAAAATATTTTGTCTCAGGGTTTGATGCAGAATGGTGGCGAATCGATTCAGAAATCGTTTAAGGTACTCCCTTGAGAATGGATGAGAATTGGAAGATACAGCCATCACTGTGGGCCCTAGGGAACACCCCATTTAAAGGGATCACCTCACGAAAAATAGACAAAATCTAAAAATATATCTCAGGATTTTGATGCAGAATGGTGGCGAACCGATGCAGAAATCGTTTAAGGTACTCCGCTTGAGAATGGATGAGAATGGGAAGCTATAGCCATATGTGGGCCCTATAGGGAAAACCCCATTTCAAGGGATACATCACGAAAATGGACAAAAATATAAAATATTTTCTAGGATTTATGCAGAATGGTGAATCGATTCAGAAATGTTAAGGTACTCCCTGAGAATCGGATGAGAATTGGGAAGATACAGGCATCACTGTGGGCAAACCCCCATTTTCAAGGGATCACATCACGAAAAATGACAAAACTAAAAATATTTTGTCTCAGTGTTTATGCAGAATGGTGGCGAATCAATTCAGAAATCGTTTAAGGTACTCCGCTTGAGAATCGGATGAGAATGGGAAGATACAGCCATCACTGTGGCCCTATAGGGGAACACCCCATTTTCAAGGGATCACATCACGAAAAATAGACAAAAATCTAAAATATATCTTCAGGTTTTGATGCAGAATGGTGGCGAACCGATGCAAAATCGTTTAAGGTACCCGCTGAGATCGGATGAAATTGGGAAGCTATAGCCATCACTTAAAAACCCCATTTCAAGGGATCACATCAAAAAATGGACAATAAATATAAAAATATTTTGTCTCAGGATTTGATGCAGAATGGTGGCGAATCGATTCAGAAATCGTTTAAGGTACTCCGCTTGAGAATCGGATGAGAATTGGGGAAGATACAGGCATCACTGTGGGCACTATAGGGGAACCCCCCATTTTCAAGGGATCACATCACGAAAAATGGACAAAAAATCTAAAAAATATTTTGTCTCAGGGTTTTGATGCAGAATGGTGGCGAATCAATTCAGAAATCGTTTAAGGTACTCCGCTTGAGAATCGGATGAGAATTGGGGAAGATACAGCCATCACTGTGGGCCCTATAGGGGAACACCCCATTTTCAAGGGATCACATCACGAAAAATGGACAAAAATCTAAAAATATTTTGTTTCAGGATTTTGAGCAGATTGGTGAGAATGGGAAGCTATAGCCATCACTGGGCCCTGAAACCCATTTTCAAGGGATCACATCACGAAAATAAAAAATAAAAAATTTTGTCTCAGGATTTTGATGCAGAATGGTGGCGAATCGATTCAGAAATCGTTTAAGTCTCCGAGATGGATGAGAATTGGGGAAGATACAGCCATCACTGTGGGCCCTATAGGGAACACCCCATTTTCAAGGGATCACATCACGAAAAATGGACACAAAATCTAAAAAATATTTTGTCTCAGGATTTTGATGCAGAATGGTGGCGAATCGATTCAGAAATCGTTTAAGGTACTCCGCTTGAGAACCGGATGAGAATTGGGGAAGCTATAGCCATCACTGTGGGCCCTATAGGGGAAAACCCCATTTTCAAGGGATCACATCACGAAAAATGGACAAAAAATATAAAAATTATTTTGTCTCAGGGTTTTGATGCAGAATGGTGGCGAATCGATTCAGAAATCGTTTAAGGTACTCCGCTTGAGAATCGGATGAGAATTGGGGAAGATACAGCCATCACTGTGGGCCCTATAGGGGAACACCCCATTTTCAAGGGATCACATCACGAAAAATGGACAAAAAATCTAAAAAATATTTTGTCACAGGATTTTGATGCAGAATGGTGGCGAATCGATTCAGAAATCGTTTAAGGTACTCCGCTTGAGAATCGGATGAGAATTGGGGAAGATACAGCCATCACTGTGGGCCCTATAGGGGAACACCCCATTTTCAAGGGATCACATCACGAAAAATGGACAAAAAATCTAAAAAATATTTTGTCACAGGATTTTGATGCAGAATGGTGGCGAATCGATTCAGAAATCGTTTAAGGTACTCCGCTTGAGAATCGGATGAGAATTGGGGAAGATATACCATCACTGTGGGCCCTTTAGGGAACACCCCATTTTCAAGGGATCACATCACGAAAAATGGACAAAAATCTAAAAAATATTTTGTCACAGGATTTTGATGCAGAATGGTGGCGAATCGATTCAGAAATCGTTTAAGGTACTCCGCTTGAGAATCGGATGAGAATTGGGAAGATACAGCCATCACTGTGGGCCCTTTAGGGAACAGCCCATTTTCAAGGGATCACTCACGAAAAATGGACAAAAATCTTAAAAATATTTTGTCACAGGATTTTGATGCAGAATGGTGGCGAATCGATTCAGAAATCGTTTAAGGTACTCCGCTTGAGAATCGGATGAGAATTGGGGAAGATACAGCCATCACTGTGGGCCCTATAGGGGAAAACCCCATTTTAAAGGATCCCATTAGGATTCGGGCGGAGCCGAAATTGATGTACCTTTGCAGTTAAACCCATAAATATCATAATAAAACCAATTAATTACAATAAAAAATCTAAAAAAAGTCCCAAGCTTCTATCTTCAAAAATAACAAAGGTAGTATTTCTACCACATACCATTTCCGATCGTTCAGTTATACGGCAGCTATGAGATATAGTCGGCCGATCGTTATAAAATTTGCTAGGTCGGATCAACTGACAAAATTCTCTACTAAGTTCCATCTTCAAAAGCACGAAAGATGAGTCGTTCCCGATCATACAGTTATCTGGCACCTATAGGATATAGTCGGCCGATCCCGGCCGTTCCGATTTACTGCGTTTAAAGGAATGAAGCGTGTGTGCAAAGTTTCAAGTCGATAGCTTTAAAACTGAGAGATTAGTTTGCGAAGAAACAGACAGACGGACATGATCCTGATGAAGAATATGTATACTTTATAGGGTCGGAGATGCCTCCTTCACTACTTTGCACATTTTTGGACAAAATTATAAAACTCTCTGCAAGGGTATAAAAACGGCAACAAAAAGACATTGTACAAATTTCAATTAAAATTAAGAACGAAATCAGCGTCAGGTGAAGTCCAGGACCAGTACCAGGGCCAGGACGAGGACTTCCACCATTTGATTGGTTTTTTCCACCATTCGGTTCGTGAGTGGCACAGTGTGTGTACATTTTCAATTTCAATTTCCCGGCCAAACATTTCCTTTTATTTTTATTTCATTATGATGCTGAAATATATCCTTAAATACACACACACACACACTCATCACATATACACGCATATTTCTCTGGACTCTGAGGTCGCTTCGTGGCTTGTATTTGTTATTGTATTATAAAGCCTCTCATATTCTTACCAACAGCACTCGCAGATTGATTTTCCTGTTCACTCCTCCTTTATTTTTTTGTATTTCCTTGGAGACAAACTGGCCCACCCACAGGACTCCCGGACTCGAGTTTTATCCAACTTCAAAGGTCTTTTGGCCGCTGCTGAGCCTCGAGTGTCCTTGCAGTATGTCCTGCTACGGCTTATGTGACATTTTTTTTTCCTTTCATTTTGTAGCGTTTTTTTGGCTTCGGTTCCCAGTTTTCATTTTTTTTTTGTTTTCCTCACTCCAAGGAGGCTCAATCGGCCTCAATTCGATGGACCGAAAATGACGTGTGGTTGTTGCGGATTCTGCACTTGTGTGGTTTTCAAATGAAATAGAAATTAGGCCTTGGAAATTATGAAAAATGTTATACCCCAACTAGGTAAGAATATTGAATCTCGTTTTCATTGTAAAATATTTTAACACATTTGTGTTTTTTGTTTTTCAGACAGTCCATCAAAATTAATTTGTAAAAACCGAAAATGAGTATATGGAATGAGAATGAAAATGGCATTAGTTCCAAGAGGTTTCTTATCGAAACGATCCTCATTTTTGTGATCCTTTTAATCCTGGCGATTCCACAATGGTTCGCGGTCACGTATTTTGCGAAGGAACACATGCTGTACACGATTATCGCCTTCTTTGTCGCCTACTTATTGATGATCACTCTTTATTTGGTGGAGCCTATCGAGTACGCCCATCCCTGGAACTATATAATTGTGACCGTGTGCTACGAACTCCTAACTCTCGGTTGTTCCACGTTTGTGCAAGATTGGCACATCCTCTATACTGTAGTTAGCATATGTTTCGCCCTTGGCCTTACAATCATCGGCCTGGGCGTCTGCTTTCCGCTCATATGGTTCTCCAAGTACCCGAATCCCGTCAAGACGGCGACCTTTGTCTCGATGTGCTTCGCCCTGGTCTACTGCACCATGAACATGAAGCTGATCAAGGAATGGCTGTTCTGGGTGGACTTTGCAGTGGCGATCTTCATATTCAGTGCTATGATTCGGTTGATCTCGCACGTCATGATTACGGATGAAAACTTCGAGAAACTGATAGTGGATGACATAATGGTTACCGCTTTCAAGTTGTACATTAATTTTTGCCTGATTTTCATTGGATGTGCCATCGCCGTGGATTGCATAAGATTGAATACTGATTGGATTGTGAAAGAATAAATGGTCTCCAAAACCCAATATTTGATTTACTTTATGGTCGGGATATTTGGGGGCTATTTAAATAAACATTTTTAGGTATCTAAACCTTTTATATAAACCACAACAATATGTCTTGTTCTTATATTTAAAAAAATTTAAATAATCGCATAGGTTTTGTTTAGAATTTCACTGTTTCGTAAGGACCTGAAATATTAAATCTAAAAAATTCTCAAAAATATGTTCCAAATTAAAAGTTTTCCTGGAAGGAGCAATAAGTATATATCCATAAAGTGAGCTTGTAAAGTTTGGTCACTGATAATTCTAAGTGAATCGAGATAATCATGCCTGGAAACGAGAATGGCATTAGCCCCAAACAGTTTGTGGGCCTCACAGTTCTCATCCTGGCGATATTTCTACTCGTCGCTCTGCCTCAATGGATACTGCTGTGCCTCTACGCGACGGATCACCTGGTGTATACTCTGCCCTGCTTCTGCATTGCCTTCCTGCTCCTCACCTGTATGCACCTGTTTGAAGCCCTCAAGTACACACGCCCATGGAACTACATCGTCCTTGCCGTCTGCTACGAGCCGATGACCATCGGCGTGGCCAGTTTCCTGATGGAGTGGGATATAACCTTAACTTTCATTGTCCTGGGTGTGGCCTTTCTTGTCCTTGTGCTGTTCCTTCTGCTCTCCCTCCTGCTCATCGTGCTGAACAAGTATCCGAATCCCTTCAATCTGGCTGTAGTGGGCGCCATGTGCTTCGTGCTGGCCTTTTTCTTTGAGGTCGTGGATGTCGTGAAGGAGTGGTGCTTCTGGAGAGATCTGGCGGTCACGGTGTTTCTGATCAGTGTGATCCTCATCCTAGTCTCGCACGTCCTTATCACCGCCGACAACTTTGAGGTGCTGGTAGAGGACGATGCGATGATCGTGGCATTTGTTCTCTACATAACCTATTTGCTTCTCCTGATCGGTGGTCGAATATCCGTAAACTGCATTCAGCATAACAGGAAATATCACTGGTAATAAGGATACTATTAAATCTCTATTTAATAGCTGGATATTTTTGTATATTGTTATAAAGATAAATATAATTATCCAAAAGATTCTGATTAAATCCAACCATGAAAACACTTCCCTGTGTCCATATTTTCATAAGTATTAAGCAAATGCATTCCAAATAGAGACTTCAATCAGTAAGAGGTAAGCCCCTTTTGTAAAATGGACGTGTTGGCATCCATTACGATACGATAACGATTCTATATGGCATTGGAATGATTCATTTTGTGATCGCAGAGAACTGGCAGCCTCAATAACGTCGCTGGCTCAGGGGGATTACGTGACTCTGGAGTATCGACTGAGTCAGATTTTGAGAAATCTTAAATACTAAAGATAAAATAAACTATATAATTTTCCACAAAGTTTCCTAATATTGCTATCTTAGACATGTAAGCTACATCTGAAACTTTAATCTGTATTATTCTTTTAGAGAGGGCCTGCCATAAATTATACATACAAGAAAAGTATCTGGCTATTCGAATCGCATTCGAAAATATGTGAAAATGGGGTATAATGGGGGGCCCAATGGGGAAATGGGAAAATGGAATGAGGAAAAGCGATATAGAGGAAGAGATGCCGGCAATTGAAATTGTCGTCATTTCTGTTGTTATTGCTAGGTTTTTCTGGTTCGCAGCGGATGCAATTCCTACAAAATGATAATTTATGATAATGATGCTTCCGTTATGGGGCACACAAAACTGGACACAGGACATTGGATTGTGCGCCGCGTAGCATAAAAATCAGCTAGAAGCGAGACAGAGCCGTGCCGAGAGAGATATGGCGAAAAATTTGCCAGTTTCATTCATTTTACGGGTCGGGCCTCGCATATTTATTGATAATTTCCGTGAATTTTGCAGCAGTCAAGCGAAAGCGGAAGTTATGCCATTTGCTGCACGCCTGCCCAAAAAGGACAATAGTTGTGTCCTGCAGCCGGGGCGGGCAAACAGACTGGGCGGGGCTCCAACCGTTTGGAGTGGCTGTGTCGTGTGGGTGTGACTGTGGCTGAGGGCTTGGGTGTGGACGTGGGTGTGGGTGTGTGGTCGGGCTGTGGCAGCCCCCAAAATCAAAGTGCCTATCGATTGCGTTGATTTGCCTTGTTTATTGTCTCAGCAATGGCGCCTGACAACTCCCTGGTCCCCGTTCACAATTGTTTTGACTGGCCCCGAGTATTTATGGGTTACGCTCGAACAACAATGGCAACAACAATGACACTGGGCCAGCCCATTGTCTGTGATTATCAATAAACATTAGCCGAACAATAGGATGCTCAGTGTCAGTGGATCCCTCCGTTCGGTGAACATTCTAATGACCTTGAAAATTAGTTCTTGCATAAATCTCTCGCACTGCCCCACGTCCACTCACATGCCGTCCCCCCCCTGACTCATTACCCCACAGAAATTGTTAATTATTGTTTATTATTTATCGCCATGGTTGCATATTAATTGGTGGGCGAGTGACAAAAATTTCATTTTAATTTCGAATTACCAGCCATCTGGTGACCATTGCGAGGCATATGGTTGCGTTCTGCTGATGGCTGATGCACTGCATCCGCTTCTGGCCAGCGGCAGGAAGCGGCATTAAGGCCACAAATAGTGTGGGCAAGACGAAGCGGAAACTTTAAGCATATTCATAATGAGATAATTTATTTTTTTTAATAATTCACAGGACTTGTAGGAGTTTTATTTAAAAAAGTAATGATTGAAATATAATTGATTTAATGTCTGTAAAATTTCCATAATTTGTATATTTATAATTATTTAAAAGCCTGAGGAAAACCCTATAAATCTGCAAACTTTTATTTATTTTGTTAACTGCCAAAACTTTTGGCCATCAAATGGCGAGGGGAACGGCATTGAGCCAAGCTACTCATTTGCAAGAATTTAAAGTGCACTTGCCAGTTGCATGTGAATATGGGAATAGTTTCCCTATCTGTTTCCAGCCTGGCTCCGACTAGCTTCGAGGACAAATGGAGCCAAAAGTTACAGACGACTTCCATTTCCTCGATTTTTCCGACCCTTGCCACCTCTCACTTACCAACCCCGAATAGGGAAATACGAAAAACTTTGGTTTGGATAATGCGAGTCGAGTCCCCACAGTGTGCAAAGTGTTTGGCATAAAGTTATGCGCCAGCCAAACAACAATAAAATAATATAATTTTTTGTTTGCCAACTCTCGATTGTGGTTGGAAAGTAGGGAAACGTGTTGCAAGCGAAGCCTTGAAGTTCTTCGTTTTCTTTTCTTTTATTTTATTTTCTTTTTTTCGGGGCAATTCGCGACTCGTTCGACTCTTGGCCATAAACTTTTCAAGGAATATCGAAAGTTTCCTCCCATCGCATCGCATTCGGCTCGGCGAAAAAGCTTCGAGCTGCGCGAGAGACACACAAAGGCTACAAAACTTATAACGAGAAAACTTTGCCACTTGGCAAATGCGCGATAAAGAAACAAACAGAACAGAATGGAACAGAAAGGCACAAAATAGCGCCAAGCTGAGCTGAGCCCCACAGACTCGGCAGGATCTGCTGGATTGGATGGCGAAAAGATGTCCATGGAAATGGGATGAGCAGTACCGAGTGGTGCAGCCAAACTAGGAAGATGCCGTCAAGTTGATATCAGTGGCAGAGGTAACTTGGCCAACACTGAATTGATAAAAGAGGATCATATCCGGAAACGAACTGGGAGTTCCCTGTATCTAATCTTTGGCTGTATAAATCTTATCTATATTGAAACATGAGGAGGGATTTAAACAAATGTCGCCTAACCAAAAGTTAGTTTTATAATTTACAACATAAAACCGGTTCTAATTTTTAGGGAGTCATCATAAAAATAAACAAGTGAGCAGACAATATTATTTGATCTCATAGTAATATCTTTTTGAGTATTAACCAAAAAGTTCATGTGTCTTAGAAGTCCTTTTATACTTTCAAGTACTTCTTTGTAGTTTGTTTAACAAACTTAAACAAATATTTTTTATAGGAGTAATTATTTACTTTCTGAAGTAATCTTTTGTTGAGTATTTTAAAAACACTTAAAAAAGTTATATAAAATAGTCTGCGGAATATTTGAAAAAACGTTTATCTACTAAAAATTCTAGGTTTTAAACTAATATTACTAAAACTAGACAGAATGAGTGCCGTTTCGACGTAGAGTTTTAATCTGGTCGGTACTAATGGAGACTAATATTTCAAACTAAACTAACTAATAAAAAAGGTTTTGAATTTTAGAAAATAAATCACAAATAATAATAATAAACCATTTTAATGTCTATCTCCTCAGTAACATCAAATTTACAGGGTAACTCCGAAGCAGCGATTGGATAAAAACTTTCACAGCCGACGGCGGGCTAAGAAATATAAAACTTCGGCAGAAGGAAAATTTTTCGCTGACAATGGAGAAGCTAAAGGAAACTCAAGAAAACTCATTCGCGCGTTTTAACTAACTAGCAGAGTGAGCCAGTAAGCAGCGAGTGAGGTTGAATAAAGAAAAACGGGCAAGAATTATTATTTACGCACGGATGGTGTCATCTAATTACGAATTCATTTTAGTTTTGTGTGCCAGCACAACAACTGGGAGGCTGGCGGCGACCAGGCCAACAGACTTTCTTGGGTTTCCTTTGGGCTCTGGACCCGGGCTGGAAAATAAATAGAATGCGACCGCATTCGGACAATACACCTGCAGTGCTGAGCCACCGCCATCCCGATCAACGTTCTTCGCGGTGCCAGCCTCCGGAGTCCGGAGGAGGCCATGGGTGGCGGCTTTTAATGCAATATTTCGCAAGAGATTTTTTACGAGGCCGCGACGATAAAAAGTTTGCTGTTCGCAGCGTTTTCAGAATTTTGCATTTTTGCGCCAAGTTGCATTTTGGTTTAGACCAGGACGCGGCCGCGGCCAAAAGAAATTTCATGCTCTTTGAAAACTTGTTAAAGTATGATAACCACAATGCAGGCCACATCCCCAGCCCCTAGGAGCCGCTGCTCCTCCAGAAGAATACCAAGCAGAAGAATCGCCGCAAATAATAATAAGCAAGTTGAATTCCAGAGCCCGGGACTCGTTAACTGGCGTCCAAAAGTTAAGAAATGCATAAAATTTGTTAACAAGCTGAAAAAAATAATGCCTTGTTCGCACTTATCCGAGTTTGAGGGAACCACCCCAGCACCTTCGAAAAGGCAGCCATTTTCTTAGCGGAAATAACTAACAAGAAGAAAGTCCTCCTTTTATTTCTGGTTTTACCCTAAACGAAGAGGTAGCTCTACTATTTTAATTATTTTATAAATTTATTTGAATATATTTTATTATCTTAAAAGCATATTAAACAAGAATAATGTTAAGTAACCATATATTATTAATTTTTAAAGAATATTCCATTTTGGATATTAAATGATCTATCATTTAATATGAAAGAAAAATCTTTCATTTCCATGTTTTAGGAAATGTTTAATGTTGCCTTGTTAGGGGAAACTGGCATTGTTTGGTCTGATGTTAAACTATGTTAAATGGGTGCTCACTAAAAAGTTTTTCTAATGAGATCTCGAAGACCGCTATGGGCATTCAACAGCCATTTTCTAACTTTTAATTAGAGGAATAGTTTTTTTTTTAATTTAAGGCCGACAATATAGAGCTCTTATGAAACAAAATTTAGGCTGTAGGGTATAGAAGGTAAAACAATAAAATAAATATTTTTAAATTGCATTTCAATTAGTTTGTGTCGGTTGGCTGGTTTTTTCCCCCATTTTTTATGGCAGCTCGCATATTTTTGCGGTTTCTGTATTTTTCCTGCCACTTATTTGACCGCTAATTACATTTTAATGTAAATTAATGAATCTGCGCACTTAACTTGGCCGGATTGGCGGACCTCCTCACTTTTGCCCGCCTCGTGGCCCTCGCACCTCCACGCCGGCCCTGTCAACTTGTCTGGCCGCCATCCTCCAAGAAACACTCTGGCTCATTTGGCTTCATGAAGCCCACAACACAAACTTGGCTCATTAGCCGGTC